CTGCTGAGGCCGGGTGCTAAACCTGCCCCCCAGAGCGAGGTGCTGCCCGCAGTCTGGCTGGTGCAAATCCTCATTGTTTTTTAATGTTTTAGTTTCTTTGGGGTGTGTATATATATATATATATATTGTGGTTTCATGTATTCTGGAATTCAGCAGTGTTTGCGTGGACGAAATATGATTTTTATACCAGAAACTTTATGGAAACATCCAGAAGCTGAGTAAGCTTGGTGAGGAGTGTTTGGTCTAAGATTAGTGGTCTGAGTAGCACTAGTAGTCTAAGATTAATTTTCATATGTAGCTTGGGACTTTTAAGTTGTGATGCCCACTCTAACACAAGGATCTGATATTATAGTTGCTTCAAAAGTGCTTCTTTCAGTGATGCTATAGGAGAGGCAAACCCAGTCAATCGATGTGAAACAGGAAAATGCAGCACACTTCACTGCAGAGTTCTCTGGCTTCGTGCTTGGGAAGAACACAAGGGGTGCTGCTATGAGTCTTGCTGGATAAACAGCATTTACATTATAATTTCAAACTTGGTATGGCTGTCAGTGAGAGATCAAAGTACAGGTGCAAACGTTCATTTAAATATTGAAAGATGTACCTAGCAAAGTGAAGAAGTCTGAAAATCTACTTAAAAATCTGATGCTTATGCGTCTTGAAGGTCTGTATAGCCTAATCATAAATTATTTTTTTCCACCCTTATTTTAGGAAATAAGCTTTAAATAGGAAGCAGTTTCTGTAATTTTTTTCTTCAAAGTTTCCTTTAGTTAGAAAAGTGGGGAGTGTAATGCTGTGCATCGTTGTTGCCTTTTCAACAGTATACTTTCACATTTTCTATATCTTTTTCCTCCTGAGAAAAAATAGTTTCTTCTGATTAGAAATCTAGTGTACTAAATATGTGGACTGATAAGAGTTCTAGGGGATATTTGTCTCCAGGTAAATAGATTCTTAAAATGGGAATTTCTGTCGGTTTTCTTAAAAGCTAAACGGTTTTGTAGGAGCTAATGTATGCAATATGTAATGTAAGTACTGTAGAGGTGACCTCTTTAAAACTTGCATATTCTAGTAAGATAATTATGTACTATATAAATTGCACAGTAAACTTGTGATGTATTTTTTTTTTTGCCTTGTCCAATATCTTTCTGGGTTTAATATCTGTTTCTTTTAGGAAGAAAATGAAAATCTTTTCTGAGTCTCATAAAACTGTTTTCGTTGTGGATCACTGCCCGTATATGGCAGAATCCTGCAGACAACATGTTGAATTCGATATGTTAGTAAAGAATCGGACCCAAGGAATTATACCTCTAGCACCCATATCAAAATCACTATGGACCTGTTCAGTAGAATCATCCATGGAGTACTGTAGAATAATGTATGATATTTTCCCTTTCAAGAAACTGGTAAGTTCTTCTAGCCATACTGCGTATGATACTTGATAGTATAAGGGATATTTTCCCATTTTAATGAAGTCTTTTAGTGTCTTTAGCTGTTGATTAGATGAAAAGTCCAAATATAATTTATTATATAAAAATTTCTTTGTGCTGTTGATACACTTTATAGCTATTTAAAATGGTTTGAGTAGTATATGAATCTCATTACATATTTATTTTTGGGACCTTTCATTGTCTTAATGACACTTTGTAACTCAGTGTAAAACACAAGGAGACGTGCTTTAAAGTAACTTACAGCTCAGGAGAACACAATAATAGATCTGTAAGTTTTCAAAAGCTTGAGTGAGGTAATGCTTCAAATTGAATTTTGTTTCTAAACACACTTGGTAGTGCTTCATGAGGTTTTTGGTGTCAACTTTGAAGGAATTCTGGGCTTTGGGAGGAGGTAGGATCTCCCTGAAGCTACCAGTCTGAAAAAATGGGATTGCTTCCTGGCACACAGCTCCTTGTTTAGAAAAATAAATGCCTGGTGGCTTCTGTAACATTGTACCATAAGTTAAGGTACCTAATCCCTGTTTTTTAAGATCTTTTCTCATTATTGAGTAAACCATTGTGCAATGTCCTAATGTTTAGTTACCCTTAAAAAAAAAAAAAAAAAAAAGGAAGTTAAACAACCTTGTGAGAGTGATATTGGTGCAAAGTAGTGATGGTGGAATACTGTCTGCGTCAGAGAGCAGCTGAGGCAGAAGCCAGGCATTAACAAATGCCTCTGGTATAGTTCAGTGATTTGATTTGTGTCAGCCGCACTGCCTTGATGGATTGCCTGTCCTGGTTCTCAGACAACGAATGTTTAAACTAAACTCCAGTTTAGAGCATTTAATATACAGTCAAGTCCCATTATGGGATTATATCGAGTGTATGCTTAATGGATTTGAATCGGTTGGCTAAACTGGAGCTTGTGTGGTGTGAGAAACTGAATTTGAGTTGGAAGGTATGTTTCCATTTAACATGTTAGTCATCTTTAGAACATATTTTGCTATGTGATGTTTATTAAATCTTGCTAGATATTTACCCCTGTGATCTACTGTGGCAGTCTTTGGAGAATGATTTGCAATATTGCAGTATTAGAATCGACTTTATTTTATAGCTATTCTAATTTATATATTACCTAATTATTAAAATACTTTATAATATCCTGCAATACTAATTTGGTGGAGAGATTGATTTAGTGGCTTAAAAATGTAAAGAGTTGGAGTAAGAAGTTGTTAATCATAATGTTACTAAAGGGGCCATTGAGTATAGCAGGAGTGGATGCTTTTTGTAGTTTTGTTGTCTTATTTTTAGTTTGGCTTGTCATGGCCCATATCTCCAGAGTATCAGAAGGAAGGTGTGTGTTTGGATTTGGGGAAGTAGCCATAATAGCTGTTATCTGCATGATTCGCTGTTATTTTACATGTGGTTTTTTGATTCTTTTAGGTAAATTTCATTGTGAGTGATTCTGGGGCTCATGTCTTGAATTCTTGGACTCAGGAAGATCAGAACTTGCAGGAGGTATGCTTTGTAACTGTTCTTTTGTTTTCTAAGTGTAGTTTAACTGCAGAATAAATAGCAGCTTCTTACTATGTTTAATATGAACTAACTTTGTTAATTAAAATGTCGGTGCATCTGGCCTGATATTATTGCATAACAATTTTGAGAAGTAGCCTGTGAGGCTAGACTGTTCTATAGGCAGCTTTACATAATTTAAAAAGTGTGCAGTAGCTTTTGAGTATAGAGTTATATCTTAAAATAAATGTTAAGAAGAAATTACCTATGTATTTCTTCTGTAATTTGGTGGTGGTACTTGAATTTTAGATTTGCTTTTATTTTTACATTTGCATGATAGGCAAATAAACCATGAAAAAATAAGTTGTGAAAATTCTCTTTGCTCTCATTTTGTTTCATATGGAATGGGCTCATCCTCTGAAAAAGTTCACTTT